AAAAGAAAGAAAAGGAAAAACATACTAAGAGATAACAATGTGATTTACCCTCATAGTATTAAGAAAAATGAAAGTATATTACTGTCATTTTAATTTTAATCAAATATTAGGGGGGAATATATATAAAATTATTTCACCTCTGTTCACATCTATAAAAACTTTTCATTAGAAAATAGTACATTTGTACAATTATACATTATATTATATTATTGAAAAGGATTCTCAAAAATATATCAGGGACTCTGGGTGCAGTGGTTCATATCTGTAATCTCAGCACTTTGGGAGGCCAAGGCAGGTGGATTGCTTGAGCCCAGGCGTTCAAGACCAGGCTGGGCAACATGGCAAAACCTTGTTTCTACAAAAAAATTGAAAAATTAGCCAGTCTTGGTGGCATACGCCTGTAGTCCCTGCTACTCAGGAGGCTGAGGTAGAGAGTTGCTTGAGCCCAGGAGGTGAGCCATGATCACACCACTGCACTCCAGCCCGAGTGGCAGAGTGAGACCCTGTCTCAAAAAAAAAAAAGAATATGTGTATACATACGTATACGTATGTATATATACATGTGTGTGTATTACTATTTTCTTCCTGATATATATGTGTGCGAGGGTGTGTTGTATGTATATACATATATATATATGTACATGTATACACACACATACACATACATCAGGAAGAAAATAGTAATAGAAAGAAATTGGTTAACTTAATTTCTTTTATAATTAAATTATTATTTTTTGTGATTCTTTCAGCTTATACCATTGCTAAGTATGGTATGTCTATGTGTGTGCTTGGAATGGCAGAAGAATTTAAAGGTGAAATTGCAGTCAATGCACTATGGCCTAAAACAGGTATGTACTTTTAAAAAACTTCATTTGTTAAGATTTTTATGTATTGTCCTTGACATTCTTTTATTTATTTATTTATTTATTTTTGAGGCAGAGTCACCCAGGCTGGAGTTCAATGGCGTGATCTCAGCACATTGCAACCTCTGCCTCCCAGGTTCAAGCAGTTCTTGTGCCTTAGCCTCCCAAGCAGCTGGGACTAGGGGCGCACACAACCATGCCCAGTTAATTTTTTGTATTTTTAGCAGAGATGGGATTTCACCACGTCGGCCAGGCTGGTTTCGAACTCTTGGCCTCAAGTGATCCGCCCACCTTAGCATCCCAAAGTGCTGGGATTACAGGCATGAGCCACCATGCCCGGTCTGCCCTTGACACTCTTGAGGTGCACCTTGGGTGTGATGGGGTAGGAGTGTGTAGACTGTCAACACTAACTTTAATCTGTTTGTTGGGAAACAAGTTCAACTTTTTATTTTACAACATAAGATCCTTTTCAATCATCCTCCAGCCTTGGCTTAGACTACATGAGTAACTCTTCAGCCAAAGCCTTTGTGGGAACACTGACCACTGGAACACTATAAAAGTCTTTTGAAGGGCAACAGGAGATACTGCACTTCTCCAACTCTTTCTCCATCTTTGTTTCTGGAACCTTCCTAAATTCTGCAGATTCTCATACTTTTATTTTCTCCTCACACATCCTAACAAATGCTTTTTAACATTTTTGTATTCTTACTGCCCTTGCCTTTTTCCTTTAGAACAAGCTGGATTATCTTTACTTTCACGTGAATTCTTCTGAATTCACAGAATACCTGGAGCCCTGTGAGAGGACAGAAGAACCTGTTCGGGCTTTGTGTGCAAATGCTATAACAGAAGTTGATGGCTTCCTTGCTGGGCAATAAGATATATAAAAATGAGGGAAAGTCAGCAAAAATGAGAGAAAAGGAAAGCCTGTCTTTCTTTTTTTTTTTTTTTTTGGGATGGAGTTTCACTCTTGTTACCCAGGCTGGAGTGCAATGG